GAGAATATTGAATAGAGCAAAACAATTAATCAGAACTAAGCAAACCAGTGAAAAATATTGACCTTCAAAGACAAGATAGAAAGAAATCGCCTATACTCTTTATACTGCATACTGTCATCCTCCCAAGAGATGCTCAGACCTCCCAGGTCAGCATAGTCAACCAAACAATACAGGAATTTAGTTGCTTTATGTACCTTAGTTGCTATCAACTCCATCTGACTTCAAAACCATCCAGTTGCTAATGGGGGAAGCAGGGCTCAGGATGTTTGATTATCAGCCCACTGGCTGGTAGGCTCTCAAGAGACACTCACTGACTTATTCTCTCCCTGGCTCACCCATGACTCGTGCTGCTTACCAGGATGCATGGCTCATTGCTGTCTTGGTCAGTCCCCCAAGTATTAGCGTGGCTGAATCTTGGGAGACGCTGGCTTGTTCTCTCCATGGTGCATCTGCATCTCGCTCACACCATTTACCAGGAAGGATAGCTCTTTGCTTCTTGGTGGTCTGAGAGTGGTCATTTTCACTATGTTGTTTCTTCCTAACCATGAGTCAGGGATATCTTTTCATTTGCCGATATCCTCTTTGATACCCTTTTTCAGTAGGATAGTTTTCACTGTGTAGATCTTTCACTTCCTTTGTTAGACTGATTCCTAAGTATTTCATTTTTTTGGATGCTATTGTAAGGGGTGTGGTTTCCCTAATTTCTCTCTGGATGAGTTTGTTGCTTGTGTACAAAAATGTTATTGATTTGTGAGAGTTGAATTTGTATCCAGCTACACTACTGAATTTATTAAATCTAGAAGGTTTTTGTTGGAGTTTTTGAGATCTTCTCAGAATACTATGTAATCTGCAAATAAAGGTAATTTAAATTCTGTTTTTCCTATCCTTATTCCTTTTATTTCTCTTTCTTGTCTCATAGCCATGGCTAATGTTTCCAGCACTGTATTGAATAGGAGTGGTGATATTAGGCATCCTCATCTTGTTGCTGATTGTAGAGTGAAAGCTTTCAGTTTTTGACCATTTATTGTGATGTTAACTGTTGGTTTTCTGTAGATGGCTTTTATCAGATTGTTGTGAAGACCATTAATTCTGATTTTCTGTACATATTTTATCAGGAATGAGTGTTGGAATTTGCCAAATGCTTTTTCTGCATCTATTGAGGTGACCATGAGCTCTTTGTTTTTAACTCTGCTGATGTCATGTATTACATTTATTGATTTGCATGTGTTGAATTATCCCTGCATTCCTGGGATGGATCCCTCTTGGCCATGCTGTGTAAGCTTCTTAATGATTTGCTGCATTGTTTGCTAGTATCTTTTTGAGGATATTTGTACCTATGTTTATTAAGGAAATTGGCCTGTAATTATTTTTGATTGAATTTCTCTTTGGTTTTGGTAATATCAGGGTGGCACTTGCCTCCAGGAATGTGAGGGGGTATTAAAACCCTCCATGACAATTAGTGCTTATTTAATTTTTCATGTCAATTAATGTTGATTTTATATAGTTGGTTGTGCTAGTATTTGGTGAATACATACTTATGATTGAACCAGAAAGACAAGCGGTAATATTTACTCAGAAGAAAGTATCATAAAATCAAGTGAGATAGTTGAGGAGAAAGAAAAACAAGAAATGTAGAAGAAAACAATAAGAAATGTAAACAAATCTAAGCTGTGATAGAACAAGAAAACAAAAAAAAAAAAAAGAAAAGAGAGAGAAAATATAACCACACACACACACACACACACACACACAATAAAAAACAAAAGAAACAAAAAATCTTAGATGGAAAAATAGAGAAAAAATTAAACCTAGTAAAATTTCCTTGGTGTCTGCATTTCTGTGTGTTGGGAGCAGGAGCCAGGGGTCCGGCAGTGAACGGGTGTGGGAAACCACACACTGAAGCTGGACCTCAATCAGTTCCTCATCCTACAGTGACCTCAGCCTTCTAGACAAAGCATCGTGCTGATATTAACCTGGGAAAAGCTTCATAACATAAACAATAGAAGTTTCTCATGGGCCCAGGAACATGTTTACCTTTGCTGTGTGCACAAGAAAGTGTCCTAAAGTGACTTGTACTGCTCTTCGTTTTGAAACATTATAAAAACTCTGTAGTCTTTCAATAAATCGCCTTTTGCCTCCTGAGCAACTGGTCTCCCTGTGTCTTCAGTCTCTCGCCTGACTCCTTCCCCGCGCTGGCCGCGGCACCTGGCATCTGTGGTAGGTCCAAGCTCAATCCCAGAAATGTGTTGTGTACTCCTGCTGAGTTTGCAGTGGGATTGTGCTGGATATGGAACTGACCTTGGCCTCTGGATATAGGGATGGAACTTGTCTCTGTTGCTAGAGTTCTCCCTTAACTCATTGCTAAGATATGGTGACCTCACTCACCTGCTAATATTTTGCGTAGGTACAATGGTACTTAGAAATACAGACTTGTCAGCCGCTGCCTGGTATTATTGCTGCTTCAGACTTTTCCATTGCGCGGCTCTGATTCACCCATCACCTGTGCCCCTGCCAGGGCCTTGCTGTTTCACTCAGGTGCAGGCTGGCATATGCACCATGACATGGCCTTGCTGGATTGCGGCAATTAACATTTCAAAAGCGATTTCCATTGTAGTATTTTATGTTAAAAAGCCTCATTTTGCCATTTCCAATTTTTATTGTTTGTTAGTACACATTTAAAGTATTCGATTATATTTCTTAGGGAAGGTGGTATGTGTACAAAACACATTTCTTATCATTTAATTTTTTGTTCTTTATTTACATTTTGGATTTCATATGAATGACCATGAATATTCATATGATATCTAACCTTCTGTGCTGGATTGATTTCATTTAAAGTACAACTTCAAAGTGCATGCAGTTTTCTACAAATCACTCAAGATCCTCCTTGTTTTCAGCAGAGTAGTATTACACAGTGTTATAAATACCACATTTTTTTCTCTATTCATTTGTTGACAGACATCAAAGCCACCTTTAAGTTTTACTTATTAAGAATTATGGTGTTAAAAAGAAGAATTATGGTGCTATATATATGAGTATTCAAGATGCATTGAAGACTGTCTGGAAGCAGGCAGCACCCTACATGCCAGCTTAGAATTCCCTTCAAACCAGTTTTATTTATGGCCCATAACTTTGGAGTCCAGGCTGGGTAATAAAATGAAATGATAGAGGCAATGAGGGCCCTCTTAGAACTGTGCAAAGCCAAGGTCCCAGGGAAGCCTCCAGTCAAGTATTGGTGGCTGCTACTGACATCCCTGAAGGCTTGGGGTTCATCATTGCCTCACCATGTTGCTCCCTGGAGGAAATGGTCTCACTCCGGTGCAAGTCTGGAATCAGCCATATCAGGGAGATATCAGGACCCAGGATTCAGCCGCTTTGCTCCACAGCCCCCAAAGAATTGGCCAGAGATAAAGTGTTGGTCTGAATGACCACTCAAGTTCAAGGTCAAATGCTGACAACCGGTAACTTAAAGGATCTGGTGTACACAACAGCAAAGTGCAACCTGTCTTTCCAGGGCAGCTGCTTGAACCCCACTGTCTTCCTGTCATGGCTTCACTCTTAGTCCTCACTAAAGCTTTAGCACTCAGCTCTGTTAAACAGCCACAACTATGGCCTGAATATGTGACTGCTGTCCTCTGCCTAAGTGACTCAGAGAAAAGTACAATTCCCTGAGGGTCCCTTATGTCCTGTGAGTTCCTCAGTGTGGGGGTAGATGTGTGGGGAAGAGAGGAGCTCAGGGCATGATCTAATGCCTGGTATAGGGGCCTGCTATGGGCTTGGATCTGGCCTCAGTGGACTCAGAGCAGGCACCATGTACATCCCTGTCCAGAATGTCCACTGTCAGATGCACTACCATCCCCTGACCTTTACAAGATCCAAAATGAGCCACAGAACCTACAGGAGTAAACGCAGTTTTCTAACTTTGATTTTTCCTTTTCTTTTCTTGCTATCTTTTTAAATTTGCGTTTTTATTTGCTTGAGACTAGGTCATCCTCTGTCCTTTAGATTTCATTAGAATTCACTCTAGTCCAGACTCGACTCAAAATGCCTCCTGTCTCAGATTCTTGAGTTAAGGGATTGCAGCAAGGGACCCTCACACCTGGCATGTTCTTTGCTTGTAGGTATGCTGGAGAATTTGAGTGTTGAGAGACTCTGGTAGAAGCAGGAGGGTTTATTTGGTTTTAGGGGTACACCTGACTCTGTGGACTCGTGTTAAAATGCGCAGAACCCTGAAGAAAGGAAGGGCTGCAGATTTTATACATTTTGTGGAAGTGGGTGGTGCAAAACTGGAAGGAGGGTGTGTGCAAAGAAGTTCACAGAAGTGAGACAAGGGCAGGTATTTACTTAGTGACAGGTTTAAAACTTAGCCTTAAAAAATAAAATAGATTTCAAATATTCCAGGTTATCACTGGATTCTACATGGGAACATAGCTGTTATCTTTGTCTTTATGTCTTGAAAGAGGACAGATTCCAAGACACTATAGACTTGGTTTACAGAAACATAATGATCAACAGTATCAGAGCAGAGCTCAATGGTTACAGGGATGAAGATTTCAAGAAAAGACCTGCTCAAGACTAGGAGGGAAAAAACTGACTTTTCTCTAAAATTTGCTTTACAGTGAGTTTACATTGCTACACACATGCACACTCTGGGTCATAGGTGACTTTTTTTTAATGAATTCCAGCTGCTGACCCACAGATAGTATTGTTCAGAATGAAAGGAAGAGGCATGGTGAGCACAGGGAGGGAGTGCTTGCACATGACACCATGTGGGTGTCTGGGCATGTCTCTGTGACCCATTTGGTTTGCTCTTTCTCCACACTGCAGAATCCTGACTGGTGGGGAGGAGAGCATACATTGTCACGTATTCTTAAAGGACTGCTGGCAACAATCTAGTCTTAGATTAAGCAAAGTAGAGGTCCTCCCACCCCAGGAGGGACAGACTGGAGACTATAAATTGTTTCCTCTGGTTGGTTTCTTCAGTCTTCCACTTTCTTTTCTAACACCTTCCAGGTGAGCAGCTGCTCTGTAGCCATGGCCTGGGCCCTCCTGTGTCTGGGCCTCACTCTGCTGGGGGCCCTGAATATTGAGGCTCTGGACTCTCTTCCTACCACGACCTCAAGTTCGCCTCTGAGCAACAGTCTCCTACTGCCAGATTTCCAATATGAACAGGTAGGTTTCTGAATGAGCAGCTGAAGAGAGGGTTAAGGGAAAGAGACAGTGGGAAGAGGATAACAGACTCAGTGACAGTGTTTGGAGGGAGACCTTAGAGAACCCATTCCCTGTGCATGTGTGGTTAAGACATCTGCAGTCCTTTCTCACGGTAATAACACTGCAATCCTGAAAGACCCATTACCAACTTATGCGGGCCACTACATCCATGAAAACAGTGCAAACTCCTCATTCATGATCACTCTTGTCCTTATAAGAACAAAATTACTGCTGGCTTTTTGGAGCAGCTCATTCCCAGGGCCCTGCTGCCCAGTGGGCTGCCCAGAAGTGCCAGCAGGAACATCATGAGAGTTGTGGTCTGGTCCACCCCCAGGCTTTTCCTGTCACTAGACCTTTGCAGTTCAAGGGGAATTGGCACCCCATTGTTTGGGCACTGCATACAATTTGGAATGAAAATCAGAGCAAAGAAGCCTTGCACACTACCACCCACAAGCCGAATGATGACCACAGCTACAATGTCACATCTGACTGGCTCAGGTAAAACTGCCACATCCTGGGGTCTAAGAGGCAGACCAGTGTGATAACCATGGGTTAACAAATTGCAGGAATTATCTTTCATCTCATTGCTCCATAATGAGTTAGTATTCCTCCTTCTGCCTTCTGTCCTGCCTACCCTTCCTGCTCTCCCATTTCTCTCCTCTGTTGCTCCTTCCTTTTCTTCTTTTCACTCATTCTTCTTCTCTCCATTAATGTACATGAGTGATTGAAGCAAAAACGCAGTCAGGAGAAATGAAGAAAAGAGTAGTTACTCCAGAGGGAAAGAGGGACACTGGTTCGTGTGGAGGACACCACCCTTGTGTATATTAAGAGGTTGTAGGGAAGTGATCGGAAGTAGCTACCCTGCCTATAATCCTAGCAGGCTTAGTTACAAAGGAACTAGGAAATTAAGACAAGAAATTAATAAGTTCAAATTCAGCCTGGCCAAGCTTAGACAAATAGTATCTTAAAGTTAAAAATAAAAACAGACCTATGAATGTAGCTCAGTGCCACGTTCATGTGTTTAAATCCTTGCATAACTACTGCCACCACCATCATCATCATAAAAGAAAAAGTTACATATGTCAGAGTAAGGGCTACTGGACTCTGAGTCAGAGAGCCTCACTGTAGGATGCAGCAAAGCAGCCAGCCGTCAGCATTGGCACATGATCAGGGACTGATAAGCATTTGCGAGGGGAGCTCACCCAGGTCAGAATCTGGGGCATTGAACGGAACTGTCTCCAATTTCACTGTATGAATGTTCACTTTATATGCTTTAATTTAGTGATATGGACAACTGTTTATGGGAGAGGTAAATTTTGGCTACAGGTCTAAGTTACTGCTTGGCATGGAATATAATAGAAGCTCTAGGAAATTACAAGGAGAGATGGGAAAGGGGAGCAGCAGAATAAAGGGAGGGGGTCAGTGTCTGAAATCTATGTGTGCAATAGGCTATGCTGGGGTGGTAGAAGAGGAGACACAGAGTACTGGAGGGAGGGTTAACGAGACTCTGCAGAAGACCAGCAGAAGCTCAGAGGATACTGCCCAGTGCCATGAATGTGGGCCAGATGGGGATGCTGCCACGAGGGGAACAGGCCTCATGGGCTGGGCTGGGTTGAGGCTCTAGAATCCTACTGTAGCTCTGGTCCAGCTTTTATAACCCAGGGAGATCAAACTTTCATGCTTTCCTTGTTCAACTCCATCACATCTCACTCTTACAGTGACTGGGAATGTCCTCACAAGAGTAACATTATGTTCCCAAGTGACCATCCTGGCCTATTCCCCATGGAAAATGCTGCACGTGAGTCCTGGATGAGGGAGGCCTGAGTTTGGATTCAGGAAGCAGAATCCTTCCATAAAGGAACAGGCATCTCTGCCCTTCCACACAGATGCATTCTATGGCGAGAGACTGATGCTAACAGGTTGGGTGGGGAAGGGGACAGTCTTTTCTACTTGGTCAGGAAAGGGTGAACCTTGGCATCCACACTGCAGGTAATGATGGATTACAGAACTTCACTGTGAAAGTGCTAGAAACTGACCACAAACAGTTTGTAATGGTGTTCTTCAAGATGACTCTCCCAAACATGGTGTACCTGGAGCATACCCTCTATGGTGAGTCAATACTACATGTCTCAGGGACCAGGTCTGTGGGACCTGGAGAAAGGGTCCCAAGTCCTTGACAACCAGAATGAGCCCCTCTCTCAGGGAGGGGGTCTTGCCACAGACCCACTGTGGGAAATAAGTCTCGGACTTCATTCAGTCATGCAACAGTCTTTATGTAGTGAGACAGGGGTGATGACCCAAATGTGTCATTACAGCCCTTGGTTGGCTGAGGCAAGAAGATTAAAATTTTCAAAAACTAGCCTGAACTACATAGCAAGACACAGTCTTAAAAACTTGAATGGCAGAGTTCTGTTTTTTTTTTTTTTTTTTCTTTTGCTCCACTCATTGCTATCTCGGAACCAGGGAGGACCATGGAGTTGAGTCCTGTAGTGAAAGAGCACTTCCTCAAAGTTACCAGGTCTCTGGGCCTTCCTGATGACCACATCATCTTCGCTGACCCTGAGGGTAAGGGCCATCTGGAATGAAGGGAAGGGAATATTGGGTCTGTCCTAGTCTGATGTTACTCTACTAGGGAAAGGAGACAAGAGAGACTTGGTCTCTTGGTCTCCTCATTTGGTTTCTGTGTCCTCAGGTCTTTTGGCTCCAACTGCTCCCTGAGATAAGTTAGCCAAACTCTGTGTGGATGACTGTTTTGGACTCAGGGTCAATTTCCCCCAGTCTCTCTTCCCTGGTCCCCTTCCTCCCCATAATTTGGGTTTTCTCATCTGAGCCACCTTGTTCCTTGTATTTTAGTTTTGGCTGTCATGGATCATCTCTCCTTTCCCCTTTAGCTTGCTCATTACTGACGTGGGAGATGTTCTTCCTTTCAGGGGGCCCGGCCTGGGAAGGGGCACCACACGGGGCTGCTGGCTGAGAAACTCCCATGGCCAACAGTTAAACATGGCCAAATCCCTTCATGAGACATGAGGCACAGTCAACTGATTTTTCTGTCCTCCAGTGCTGAGTTCAGGGAAACTTCAGATCCTGATCATTTGGGGCAGACTGGGACTGAGCTATCCTGAGGCAGTGCAGGAGTCTTGGCACCGAGATATCTCTGTCTCTCTGTCTTTCTCTGTGTGTCTATCTGTCTGTCTGTCACTCTCTCTTACACACATGTGCCTGTGCACACATACACACACACACACAGCTACCTTCTCTGATATTATTTCTGCCCCACAGTGGAATGCACCGATTAAGGACTGGCACTGAGGCACTGAGTCCCTTCCACAAAAGGTTGGTGAGTGTCCAGGGTATGTGGGCTGGGGGTCTCAAGGCTGCCTTTCTCTCTCTCAAAGTTGCAAACTCCAGCCATTGTATCCTGCTGTTTCTTTTCAGGTGCCTCCTCTCTGTTCACTTCATATTCTTCTGTCACTTCATCCCAAGGTGTGATCTAGATTCAGCACCAGCCACAATGCCTGGAAGACTCTACTCAAAACATAGTGCTGCAAGTTGTCTCTTGAAATGGTTTTCCAGTGGTGGCCCCCCTCTTTTTTTGGTCTAAATATACACTTGCTACCGAGCCAAAGTGGCTATGCTCTGTGTATACTGGCTCTTGATCTTGGGGAAGGACAAAATGCAGACTCAAACAGCACCATCCCCAGGGCCTTCTGTCCTCAGAAGCAACCTGAGGTGAGGGTGCAGAGAGAAGGCACAAAGCAAGAATGCCACGTTCCTCTGGCCCCATTGTTGCCACTGGTTCCCCTGAGTGTGTCCTGGGCAGAATGTTGTACTCTATCCTCACTCCTGATTTGACGGAGTACTTAGAGTCCCAGCCCTGAGTCTACCTTGAGATAGCCTAAAGTGGGGGATGGTCCAAAAGAAGTACTTCTGAGGCCACACGTCACGTTCCCCCGGGGAAACATGCAACAGGTCCAACAACAGCATCCCCATCAGTGATGGGGAACAGGAGGGTCCTAATGTAATGTGAAGTCATCCCAAGACATAGCAGGATCCTGTGAATGCTGTGTAAAGATGACCAACATGGGATTGTGCAGGGCACAAGCAGACTTCTAGGCAGGAAATGAGCCGAGGTGACGCCCTGACCCTCTGTGTAACCAATGACCTTCATTTGGTCACAACAACTGGGGACTGTGCCTATTCTAGCCATATTCAGAGTTTTCCCTCCCACCTGGATGATGTCCAGACCACTGCAGAGTGCATTAAGAAGCCATTACAGGGCCAGAAAGTGGAGACTATGCTGCTGGGATCCATTTCTGCTGGGAGATGATTCTCATGGCTGCACCTGTGTTTAACCTGAATGTCTCCAGTCTCCACAGTGGTGTCATCAGCTGCCTCTCCAGTTAGGTACAAATTACAGACATTGCTCCTGCCTCTTCTGCTTTTATTGGGACTAGAGCCAGCGTAGATGCTGCTCTGAAAGATCGTGGTTTCCCACCTCACAGTTCCATACACTGACACTTTCATGTGGTGGTTGAACAATTTCCAAGCTATGACCAACTCCGCTCTGGCCTCCCAGTGAACAGGAGAGGCCCGAGACCCAAGCCCACCAGTGAGTGTCAGAATCCTGGCCAGATTCCATGTTAAGGCTAGTTTGGTGCCCCTGAAATCTTGAATTGTGGTAGAGACTGTGCTTGACCCAGCAGGGTTCCAGGATTAGAGCTGCATCTGAGGTTTGCTATTCACAGGCTTAAGAGCTGACCAATGATACAGAAGCTTCAGATGAATCCTTGAACCTTGGAATCCACTTTGGGCAGCTAACCAAAAACATTCTTCTAATATTGCTCTCATCAAGGCAGCTTCCCATTGTTCCTTGCTCCTGCTGGACATTTCACATTAAATTACTTGGGCATAATAGTCCTTTGTGTTTACTTCTAGGGTGGCTGGAGACTGAGGTTCCTATTGCCATTATAACAAGTCCCCATAGATTACCAGTGTAAGGCAGTATACATGTACATTCTGTCTTGTTCTGGATATGACACACTAACCCTAAGTCTAAGTTAATCCTAATCCTAACCCTACATTGAAACATGTTAGATTGAAATGAGAAAATGGATAGGGAGAGGCTGAGAAGTTAGTGGGGCTGATCCCTGGGAGACTTGGTCCCTGCAGAGACCTTCAAGCTGTGACCAGCACTGTGTACATTTCTGCTTGGTGGCCAGGGGAGCAGTGGACTATAGGGCCAAAGCACTACCTTTGAGTGGAGTCCTAGGTTTTAGCCTGAACAAAAATGAGTCCCATTACCCAACAGCAGGTGCTCAGCCTGGATTGTGAGACTCTTGTTCCAGCAAGTCTATCAGCTCCAGACAGTTTCTGTGGAACCAACTCCATTCTCTCCACCAGCCCTGTCCCAATGCCATCCTTTGTCCCTGTCCCCTGAGCCTCCTTCCTGACCCTGCCCTTATTCCAGTATAGATTTCATTTAAGAGCCAAGTGTGTGGGCACAGTCTCTTTACTCTAGGGCTAGATAAGGAGGTGAATGATGCATCAGGTGTGGCTGCTTCTGAGGAATGGAGCTGTATGTCCCTCTACCAAACCCATAAACTGTAACCTAGGACAACACATGGTAGGATCCCAGAGGTGGGGCTTCCGGAAGTAGTTAAATTAGTCCTGTGAATGGGCCTTGTGTCTTATGCTAGGACTCAAAGAGGGAACTATTTAGTTTTCCCCTTTCATCTCTTTCACCATTTGCAGATACTTAGACGATGCCAAATTTGAGGAGCAGGCTAAACATCAAAAGCGCTTGTGCCTTGTGGACTTTCCAGCTCCCAGAACTGCGAGAAATAACTATCTCTTCTTGAATTAATGCAGTGTGTGGCTGTTTGTTAGAGCATCAAAAATGGAGACAGCTGTGCTCTGACTTGTTGTAGGAAATACTAGAGCCTCTAACAAGGAAAAGCCCAGATCCAGTGAGCCCCTATCCAGTATTCTGGGTTCTACTTGTCTGAACAGTAACTTGGGAGTTTCACACACCTAGCTCACAGTAGGGACGAAGTTTCCGCACATGAATCCCTGATGAACACTCTGATAATACCCAAATCATAGAAGCCATCCGGTCTCCTTTTGGTTGTTTCTCAGGCTTGAATTTGAACACCTTCTTAACGTGGAATCTGAACTGGCAGGCTGCTTTGAAATTAGTATGTTTAACTAGGAAGCAAATATTCCAAACTGATGATTGGTCTTACTCCTTTTTCCCCCCTCTGTGTGTATTTCCTTCCTGCTTTCCCAGTTATCATTCTAGGTTTTAAGTGAATTATGAATTTAACATGGGGAGGTTTCCTGAATTATCCAACTTGGTCCTGAACATCATCACAAGTGTGCACTGAGACAGGTAGCTGGAGTCTGAGAGGTTCATTTTTGATGCATGCTGAGGGAGCAAGACCACTCAGACCTTGATTCTAGCACACAGAAAATCTCAGATTTTGTTCTTCTGGCATTGTAAGGTGTGGTTTTGAGCTTCCACAGCATAGCAATTTATTGTATTTGAAGATTTGTAAGAATCTCAGACCATGCAGAGGATGTTGATAGTAGAAAATATAATGTTAGGAAAGGCCACGGTATGGCTTCCAGGGACCTGTGGCTGTATGGAAAAAATGGCTCCAAACATGAAGCCACACAGAGAGTGGTAGGAAGTTACTTGAGCCAAGAGATCCCAGCAGTATGGGAAAAGGTAGCATGGAACAGGGTAACCCAGAACTGTCAGCAGGAACTCGTTCATGAGGGGAGGGACATCTAGGCTTATAGATAGAGACAGAGGAGTCCTGAGCCACTCCAGTCCTGGAAGACAAGGCTGAGCTCCTAGGACACTTGTGTGGTAGTGACCCTGGGATGACCACCTTAATGACCTCCTTTGGCTCAGAGGCATAGACCAATATTTGGCCCTGTGGTCTTTGTCCTGCCTATTCTTAGTGTCACTAGAAAGCATGCTATGCATAATTGGTGACTGAAAGTCATAGAAATGGAGCAGGTGTTGTCCCTCTAGCACAAGGTCTGGCACTAAGGCACTGTCCCCAGAGGCCCATACATCTTCCTGACCCATTACCTGGCTTCTTGAGAATGGGACAGAGTCAGACCAAGGTTAAGGTCTCAGTGGCTCTCAGCATCGTTTCCCTCTGCTCTTCACCAATCACCCTGCCTTTCACCCCCTTATCTCTGGCCAGATCAATTTTGCTCTTTGTATCTCTCATAGTTTTCCTGCACACTGCTTATCAGCTGTGATTTTGCAAGCCAAATGGAGATAAGTATGAATTTTTGAGATGTAAGAACAGAATCTCCAGGGCACCTCTACCTATCCTCTGGCAGATTAGATCTAATGAGACTCGGCTCTGGGTTTCAGGTTATCATTTCCTATCAGGAGCCTGAAATAGGCTTTTACTACAAAATCCATTTCTTTTGCCTTCCAGCCCCAGAAATCACCAGAATGGAACTGATGAAGTTGCAGCATCTGATGTGAAGACCTAGAGAAATACACAGTGGTTGCTTCCCTGGTTACTTCTCTTGAGGATCTCAGCCTGAATTTTTCTGCAGCCTTATTGAAGGCTTTGTAGGGTGATCTGATATTCCCAAATGAGACAGAATGAGACATGCTTAGTTGGC